TCCCCCGGGTAGTTGCCAGCCGACATTGTCTGGCTGACGGTACCCGAAGCAGGCCTTCTCTATGTGATCTAATCGGTCATTGGGAAGTATGTGGCAGAAGATGGTCCCGCAGGAATCAGGGTCCTAGGCCATGTAGGGTTTTAAAGGTGATAACCAGCACCTTGAATTGTGTCCAGAGACCAATGGGAAGCCAGTGCAGCTCGCGGAGGATAGGTGTGATACACCCAATATTGCTCACGCAGCTGCATTCTGGACTAATTGTAGTCTCTGAACACTTTTCAGGGGCAGCCCCATGTAGAGCGCGTCACAGTAGTCAAGCCTCGAGGTAACAAGGGCGTGAGTGACCATGTGAAGTGCCTCCCGATCCAGGTAGGGTCGCAACTGGTGCACCAGGCAAACCTGGGCAAAGGCCCCCCTGGTCACAGCCGACAGATGATGCTCTAATGTCAGCTGTGGGTCCAGGAGGACTCCCAAGTTTCGGGCCCTCGCTGAGGAGAGGAGAGTCCCCCCCCCCCAGGCATAAGGATGGACTGATCGAACTGTCCTTGGGAGGCAACATCCATAGCCACTTGGACTTGTCAGGATTGAGTGCAAGTTTGTTCACCCCCATCCAGACCCTAACAGCTTCCAGGCACTGGCACATCACTTCTACCGCTACACTGAGTTGGCACGGGGTGGACAGATACAACTGGGTATCATCCGCATATTGGTGGTATTTGATCCCATGCCGGTGAATTATCTTACCCAGTGACTTCATGTAGATGTTAAATAGGAGGGGGGACAAGACCGAGACCCCCCCCCCGGGAAAGAATATGAATAGGTCTTTGAAAGTACAAAGTGCCATCTCTCTCCTCCCTCTCTCTCTTTCTTTCTCTCTCTTCAGTAGACCGGAAAAAAGAATACTTGTGTTAACAGAGCACGGTTAGCATTAGGCCAATTGCTTAAATCTAGACTTCCATACCTTTCTTTGATTCTGTCCTCCAGACTTCCTTTTCTGCCAAATTATGTCAGGTTGCCAAATGTTGCCTTTTTTTTGTGCCAAAATGTGTTTTTGACCAAGGCATTAAAATTCAGCAGGGGTAGGGAAAAAACGACAATACCTAGTTACTAAATGAGGGACAAAATACTGACAAAAATGCCTGGCTTCTTTAAGGTCTCTGAAAGAGATGAGGATGGGTAATAAACTAGATGTAGTTGGTCCTGCCAATGTGCTGCTTGCGCTCTTCTTTGGATGAGTTTTGAATGAAAAAAATTATCTGGGAATCATGCTGAGTTTCATGGAAGCAGTTAACTGTCTTTAGCTACACTTGAAAAGTTAAGCATTCCTGTATGTGTAGATTGCGGTATGACTCCTCTAGGAATATAAAGAAAAGGGAACAGTGACAATCTTCTTTTCACACACACACACACACACACACACACACACACACACACACTCCCCATTTCCTGTTCTTTCACTCCTGAGCAACTTAGCAAGCACAGTTAACGATTATACGAACACACTTAAAAATGGGAATGGATTACTGTACCAATTTCATTGTATACATAATGTACAATCAGGGGTGGGTTTCTGTTGGTTCTAACAGGTTCAGTAGAAGAGCTTCCAGAAATCTACCATACCAATTAGAAGAGGTTCATCATGGAGCACCTGCCCTGCCCCCTCGTTCGCTTGCCCCGCCCATTCCATCGCTGCTCGCGGGCGGTAGCTTGTGCGGCACGGCCAGCCTCCTAGAACCTCCCTGAACTTGCCTAGGAGGCGTGGCCACCAGCAAAGCATGGGGACATTCCAGGGCATCCCTGCCCCCACTGGTTCCCCGCCTCCCTTCCTGGCAAAGTTTTCCAACGTGTGGTTTTTTTCCCATCCCTTGTGTCCAGCTCCCGCTCTGGTATGGAGGAGACGAGCCTTTGGGAAGTGAAGAGGAGGAGGGGGGAGAAGGAGGAGATGCGCGCAGGGGCCATGCTGCACAACCGGCAACCGGCAGAGGCAGGAAGGTTCTCAAAACTTCACGCTCTTCTCTGTCCACTCCTTGCGACTGCAATAGATGTTCAGAAGTGGCTTTTGTAGCTAATGGGGTTTGGGCTTCCAGCCCAACAGCCCCCGCCGCTTCTGGACATCTATTGCAGTCAAGAGGAGCACATGAAGTCCAGTGGAGGCAGGAAGGTTCTTGGCGCTCCCCAGTCGCTTTCATGGCTTCCCAGAGCACCGTGCTCTTCCCCGCGCTCTGGGAAGCCGCGAAAGCGACTGGGGAGCGATTCTGGCTACCTCCAGCCTTCCACACCTGGCAGCTGCGGGATGTCATCAAGACAAAAATTAAGAATTAAAAAGAATAATATTATTATTTGATGATGTTGCCGCAGCTGCCGGGCACAGAAGGACAGAGGTAACCAGACCACAACGAGGCAGCCAGGTGGGCGAGCCAGCGAGTGAGCGATGGAAGTTCAGGCTGCCTGATCCTCGTTCGCTTGCCCACCGGGCTGCCTCGGCGTGGCTCTGGCTACCTCCGTCCTTCTGCGCCCGGCAACTGCGGCAACATCATCAAGACGAAGTCCAGCAGAGACAGAAAGGTTCTTGGCACTCCTGGAGAAGAGCATGAAGCTTTTATGCTTAATTTTATGTTAGGGTTATTAGCATTATATAAACTTGTTTGAGATGGGTGGTCATAGAAATTGAAAAATAAATAAATAAACATTAGGTTTATATTCCTTTCTCTGATTGGACTCTTTTGGAGTTTCATGTTTAAAATGTCTGCCTTCTTCACAAATGTAACTCTAGGTTTCAGCCAGGTCTGATTTAAAGCAGGGGTGTCTAACTTTGGAAACTTTAAGATGTATGAACTTTAGCTCCCAGGAATGCTGGTTGGGAAATTCTAGGAGTTGAAGTCCATCAGTTTTAAA